TCATCTGATCAGAATTTCTTCCATCAAAAAATTGCATGTATTGATTATTTCACAGACACACTCAGAAATCAAATCTGAACTTTATACTGAGTGCATCACATTAAACACTAAGTACTGTAAATTTCAAAGATTTAATGCCATTCATTTTTCATTTTGGAAAAAAAAAACAGTGATCAGCTCTTTCTGAAAAACACTAATTCTATCAGTTCGGTACACTCTCAGGAAAAATACACAAAAATGTTACCTTTAGGGTTACCTTCAGCTTGTCACTAAGGATAGTACTCTCAAAAGGACATTTTTATGCTTTATATACCCCTAAAAATTCCTAATAGTACCTTGAAGGGATACTCCACCCCAAAATGAAAATTTTGTCATTAATCACTATACCTTACATACTATGATACTAAAATGCTCTTTTTAGGGGTAGATAAGTTACAAGGGTGTCCTTTTAAGGGTACTGCCACTGTGATAAGCTGTTGTACCCCTAAAGAGACAATTTTTGAAAATGTTTAAGTGTAACTTTTTTCAGGATGAAAAAAAAATCAAATAAAAAAAATCAAAATGTACTCTTACTCCCAGAAGACACGTAGCACCAGCCAATGAAATTAACATGGGCAATTTCAGCCAACACTGCCATTTTTGTGGGCAATATGCATCAGACGGTCATTAAACAAGCTGTGGGCGATCACTGGGTGTGCCATCTGAGACTAAGACTAATGTTTCAGTCCATGCCTACACACACCCCCTTGCATTTCCTACATAAAGAGAAGTCCTCAAAATGAACATATTAACTTTTCTTGAGGCTAAACAACAATTACCAGTACACCTAAATGAACACGACTTTGTTTTATTATCTAATTCACCACAAATTTTTTTCAGCCCTAGTTTTTCTTGTATGACAGTATAAATGCTCACAGCTAAACAGACATTATCTTATAATGTGTAGTGTACTGTCAGAAATATTCTCTGGACAGTATTTGCATCAATGTCTGCAACAGACCAGACTACCAAATACCTGCATTTGACAGACACATGGTGAATAGAGAGCAGAGCTAAAGGGAAGGCCAAGAAGAGAGTGCTGTCTCACTAAAGTAAAATAAATCTTGTCTGTCTGCATAGAGGTTGTCAAGAGCTAGCCAAATATCCCATTTAATCATTCAACATAATTAGAGAGAGAGACATTTGTTTTAACATAGGTCTGAAAACACAATGTCCAATGTCTTATTAACATCCTCGTGTTTATTTCTAAAAATATCACACAGCCTAATTATAATATATTAATTATATCTGAGAAGTTGTAAATCGACCAACCACAGAAAAACAAGCCAGCCTCTCGTATCTTCCACATGTAGGGTCAATGTAGGACATCCTACCAAAACAAAATGCATAAAAAATGCATTTACTCTGTTTAACATAACATAACAATATGACTAGTTGGTTAAACGTGGTGGACATGACTACACAATCAACGTTTAATGAATTTAATTGAACATTTCACAGACCACAACTACTGAAACAAAATATGCATAGAAAAATGTAACAGCATACTTATCGAACTGTATAGCAATGGAACAATAAAGTTACACCTACAAGCAATGGGCAATTAAATGAAGAAAATATGCACTACTGTCAGAAACTCTTTTTTTCTGGGGGGTTTTTTCCTTTGGAAGAAATTACATTTCTATTCAATAAGAATGCATTAAATGGTGTTCTTTTGAATTTTCTATTCACTAAAGAAAAAAAAAATGTATCACAGATTTTACTACACAGCACAAGTGTTTTAAACATTGATGATAATAGGCAATGTTACTTGAGCATTTCTGAAAATCATTCTATTTCTGAAGGAATTTTCAGTTTTGCCATTTCAGGAAGAAATTACATTTTAATTCAAATAGGAAACAGTTATTTAAAACTGGAATAATATTTCATAATATTACTGTTTTGAAGTATTTTTGATCAAATAAATGCCACATTGGTCAGCATAAGATACTTTTTAAAAACATTAGCAACCCTTATCGACCCAAAGCTTGAACTGTAGTGTAAATATACAAATACAAAGTGACTTGAGTGTCATTTACTGATACTGACCATGATGCACACATCTGATGTAGTTTCAACACACTGATGAAACTTCTAATCATGACATGTACTGTATATGCAACTGTAAGTCTATATATCTCAAATATAGCATATAATATTACTATTTTATCTGGAGGACTGGACAATGAATGAAGAGATTAAAAAAAGGAAAAAAAACAGGAACATAGATGGGGAGAGAGCTCAGGAACAAGAAGGTAATCTTGTTATTATGTTTTTATGACCATAGCTGCCTGCTATAGTCGATGCACATACAGCAATAATCATCCTCCAGTGGAAATGAGGACACTTCCCCCAGACATAAGTAGACAGAGTGCAGTTGTGTCATACTTATTATATAACTCTACATTGTCTTTTAGTTTAGATCAATATGTTTTATAAAATGCATGAGATGTGCTCAGTCAATGGCAGTAATAAACAAAAAGACATTAATAAGCAAACACTGACATACAGTAAAGAGAGGATGGAGCAACCAACGACTTGTGCCTGTGAGGAAAATAACGTGCACATGTTAGAAAGGGAGTAACTGTGTGTGTGTGTGTGTGTGTGTGTGTGTTGCAGGCAGAGAGAAAGATATTCAACCTCTAGCAATTACAGTAGCTGATGTGGGGCTTGGCCTGGGAAGAGGGAGGGAATGAAGTAGTAAGGGAGGGATGAAAGGAGGCTGTGGGAGGAGAACGCTTGGAGGAAAAAGGAAAAGAGAGAAACAGATGCAAGTAACTCAGGGCGGCAAACTAGATGCACGCAGGAAGCCGAAGAAGATACAGGCTCTTTTTGTAGATGACTGCAGAATTCAGAGGGTGGGGAGCTCAAAACCAGAGGAAAGGTAGGAAATTAGCTTGAATAATTTGGAGTCGGACATTGAGGTGAAACTAATAATAAATAATGTATATTATTCTCATATATTGAATACGAAAATATATTATGTGGATTCATATACAGAAATACTGTAATACAGATAAACAGTACACAGATAGAGAGTGGTCAGCTGGTCTTTTAGAGAAGTGAGCGAGTGTGCATGTACGTGCAGTATTAAATGAATAATTGTTCTTGTATGCAAACCTCAAAGGCACAGCTCTCTATAGCTGAAGGCCTCTCTCTGGTTGATTCGGTTATGGTTAAACAGACAGGACAACATGCACACAAACTGCTAAATGCTTTAGGACTGCTGTAAACATTCACACAGTAGGAGAGCTGAAAATTACAAATGTGGAATTTTTTAAAAAGTGATGAGGACAGAAAGATCCCAGATAGATGTGATTTCAAGCCTCACTGCTAACAGAAACATGATTAGCCAAACTTTTTTAACTATGCTAATACTATTCCCGATTAATCATCTTTGTTAGAAGCCTTGGCAGATTTGTTAGAAATAAACTAAAGACTAAAGGCCCGTTCACACCAAGAACGATAACTATAAAGATAACTATAAAGATAACGATAGCGTCCACACCAGCGAACGATATCGTCTGTTTGTTCTAAGCGCACATGCGTCTGCCGCTTTAAATTCTTGAGCTCGTTACAGCAGGATGGATTCTGATTGGCTGTCAGTGTTTATCGTTCATCAGCTGGGAAAAAATCGTTTTGAAAGTGATCACAACGATATCGTTCCTCTGTATCGTTATCGTTATAGTTGTGGTGTGAACTATGCTATTCTTTAATATTGAGAACGATTTTTAGAACTATATCTTTATCGTTATCTTTATAGTTATCGTGCTTGGTGTGAACGGGCCTTAAGGGTTGTACATGTTCTCATACAAAAGCAGAGGGACATTGCAGTCATCAGTCAGGAGTGATGTCAATCTCTCATAAAGATTCAGATCAGACACTGGTGATTTAACACTTCCTGTTCTCCTTGTGGCCACTATCTGTTCGAATCGCAGCTCATTTTAGTTTGAATGGCACAGTCTCATTCATTAGAGCCTAAATTGATGCTTGCGCATTCCTCTAGGCTAAACTACACACGGCGGTTTGAGTTGTGAGTGAAATTTTACAAGCATCCACCAACCGCTTCCTGTTTGAGTGGCGGAGTCTTCTAAAGAGTTTCATAAAATGGAGCCAAATCAGCACTAACGGCTCCAATATCTGTATTTCACTTATCATATTATGTTGTCACTGTACATTTTAATTGTTATATATTTATTGACGTAGTCTGTATCTGAGTTTACTTAAAGGCCCAAGACCCCAAGTGATGTTGGGCTATGATAGCAACTAGTTGGGATCTGGGTGTTGGTTTGTGTTTTGTGTCGTGTTTAATTTGTCTTTTTTTCTTCTTTTGCTGGTCGATTGCAAAAACACAGATTCAAGTTTACCACTAGTATCATACCAAAACACTTATCTGTTTTTTTTTTCAGTTGTCGCCTGTTTCCGTGTAGATTAAAAAATTATTCTTGACATTATGGATTTTTCCCAGTCTTTAACAGTATTGGCTCACATGCTCACCTTTGCATATAATCTTTCAATAAAGAGAGGTACTGAACCTTTATTAAAAAAAAAATATATATATATACATAGATACACACACAGTGTTTCCCACAGACTTGCACTCTATTTGTGGCGGCATATATATGCAAATTCATTCTCTGCCAGCAGGAGGCGCTTACAGCGGGAGAGATAGCGGTTTCCCCAGTAAGGCTGTACACAAAGCAGGGCTCCGCTCACAAACGCTGCTTTATCAGACATTACATGCAAGATGAAATGAAAATGACATCCATAATTTTCTGAAGACAGTCAGTTTCCTTCAGAAATACATAAAAACACCCGCACCGGGCTTCGTATATATATATATATATAGGCTTGATATGGACAACCCCATCTGCTCACGTCACAATTTAAAAAAAAATTAAAAGCTAAAAAAAACTGTCACACTACTAATCTCGATTGTTGTCTTTGCATGTGTTTTGCAGATGTCATGGCGGCCGACCTACCGGAGCTCCAAGTTTCGAAACGTCTACGGCAAAGTGGCCAACCGAGAGCACTGCTTCGAGGGCATCCCGATCACAAAGAACGTCCATGACAACCACTTCTGCGCGGTCAACGCCAAGTTCCTAGCCATAGTAACGGAGAGCGCGGGAGGAGGATCTTTCGTCGTTATCCCAGTCACTCAGGTAACGTTAACCACGGCGACGCAGCACGCGCGCGTACTAGTGTCTTCTCTAGAGAGTTGTTTTATGGCTTACACTAAATTCATGACCTCCACAATGTAGGGCGTCAAACTAGCACAAACAGCGGCATGAATGATGCGAACCTTTCAAGAGCATTATTTTGGCAACTTGTATGCAGGCAGTGAGTTTAAAATGAAGCCTATAGCAACGATGCTGTGTTGATACGGAGACCGGTAAATGTTAAATTGAGAAAAAAGAGTTGTAAAACCGTAATTTTAACCAATTAGAAATGAGCTGCAGGGGTGAAATGGCACTCATTAACGCCACCGTCCAATATATAGGCTAGTTTATTTATGTAGGCCAATATGGCGTTATTTTAATGACAAATGTCGAGAGCGCATTATTGTAGCGCGAAAGCACATAAATATAATGCGCGGGCGCGAATCTGCTCGCACGCGGATTTCCTTTGCTCTCACACAAAACCGGACACGTGAGCTCAGATACACGCTGCTCTCGCTCAGAGAGAGTGCGCGCACTTAAAAGGTCTCTCCTCTCCCTCAAACTGTGTCCAGGGCACTCACAAATCTCTCTATGCTCATGCGCTAGATTTTAAAGGGGTCATATGATGCGATTTCAATTTTTCCTTTCTCTTTGAAGTGTTACAAGCTCTTGGTGCATAAAGAAGATCTGTAAAGTTGCAAAAACTAAAGTCTCAAATCCAAAGAGATATTCTTTATAAAAGTTAAGAGTCAGCCACGCCTACCAAAAACGGCTCGTTCTAACAGGCCCCCACATGTCTACAATGTGGGAAGATTTGCATAACGCCGCCCAAATGTTCAAGCAAAGAAAGAAGGCGTAACTTTTATTCTGGCTGTATTATTGTTGTTGCCGCTGCCGTCATGTCGTGAAGGCGCTGTGTGTTTTCTTTGTGAAAGCGAAACTACTTTGTTTGGCCTTCCAAAAGAGGACGATATCTGCTTCATAATGCCTGGAGCTGATCCGTGCTGGTCGATGAGGAAATACAACAACTTTGCGCTGTGGATCACCGGATCGGCTTTCACCGTGGACGAAGCGGAGTCCAGCCCAGAGTCGTCACATGTGGTTGCCGCAAGCCCGCCGGACGCTCCTTCGTCGAAATCGCCTGCCGCGCCGTTCTCAAGCCCGCCGGCCACCGCTCACTCTAGCCCTCCGGTCGTTCCTCACTCTAACCTGCTTGTGTTTCGTTGTGAAAGCAAAACTACTTTGTTTGGCCTTCCAAAAATGGACACGACTAGAAATCAGTGGTTAAGTAACGATTAACTGCGAGCCGGTTGAAAATCGATTCAAATATGTGACT